AAGTTAATGGCAGCAATAACTGTAGATGATGAGTAACTGAGAATAGTGAGACAGTAGCAGAGAATAGATGGCCAGAATCATTAGCTCCTAATTACAGATAAAGTTCAGAATAATCTAATAAGTCTAATTATAAGTTTGATCAACTTTGTTTTAATCCTTCCCTTAAAAGTAGACGAGGTCTGTCGTATTGATTGAAAACTTTCATCACATTTTTACATTTATTCACTTTTCATTTAAATGTAAAAACAGAAATTTACAGAAAACTTAATGGGTCTGTCAAGAGCTGAAAAAAGGATTAACCAGAATTAAAAACTGATTTATGCTCCACATGCCTGAAGAAAATGAAGAATTATTCCAGCAGATTATTTCACGCAATATTATCTGATGTTTCTGTATGTAACTTTAAAAAAGTAATGTTATAAATTTAATAAAATGTAAAATGAACATAAGGTGAGACAAATTTTGTAGTCCCAAAAGAAACTTGTCTTGTGTACAGACACTGGCTGCTGCAAAATCCAAACATCATAACCGTCATATTACATTCACACTTAAAACCACTAAATACATTATAAAATAAGGAAATAGAAGATAAAATAACGTAGCAGGACATTTTAAAATCTTAGACATCATTGTCTACAGTCATAATGTTCAGTTTTTAACATAATATGCTCAGGGATATTTATTTATTTAATGCATTATGTAACAAATGTGATTGTCAAGCAAAACTCAACTAAATGGAGTTTAGTTGCTTTGGCTGGTGGAGGATCTAAGTGGAAATAGAGAGAGAGCTCTATTTTAGTCATCATTCAACTGTAGTTCAACAGGACAAAATTGTTTTTGTTGACTTAATGTTTCTTTTAAACTAATACATTCATGTTGTTTATGTGAACAGGTCCCATTCAAGCCAATGTGGTCCTGTATCCAAACTGGCCTCTGATATACAAAGGTGAGAGAGTTATTCTCCAGTGTCGGATCCCAGGAGGTGAAGGAATAAAATGGACGTATGAATGGAGACCAACCAGGTTAAATGAACCTGTAACATCCAATAAATACATTAACTTACTTCCAGCTAATGAGTCTCATAGTGGAGAATACAGCTGCAGAGGAACTAATGGGAGTGACTCAACAGCCTGGAGCGATGCTGTCGTATTAACTGTGTGTAAGTTGGTCATAAATATTTCATATAAAAACATTATTGCACATTTTCTAATGTGTTTGATGCAAATAAGTGATAATTAGTTAAAATATTAAGGTTTTTTCATTATCAATGTTTGTTCTTTAAACTAGTTTGTCTGATTCTTTGGATTACCAACCCACTTCTTCCTTACAGATACAAAACTACTGATATTTTAATTAAAATATATGTTATAGGTTGAGCACAAATGTCTGTTTCCTCCCAGAGCTTTCTTAGTTTTAAAGGAACAAACCTTTAGTTAAAGGTATATTTGACAGTTATACAAGAATAGCTAACATAAATAAAAACAAATTTTCTCATTGAGTCATTTCTGAGGGTTTGAGAAAATGAAATATTTCAAAGTTAGAACTGCATGAATTCCTTTATAAAATGCAGAGGAATGTGTTAGAGGAATAAAATGCTTTACCAACTGTCTGGAAATAATCTGAGTTCTCTAATTACACCGAGTTTCTGACAGTGTGTTGAGATATTTTTCTTTAAACTGAAGCCTTTTATTGACATAGAAAAACTCTCTCCAACAGATAAACTCTCTGTGTCTCCATCATGGCTGAGTCCTGG